ATATGGCTGTCTTCATTAGAAATGCATATATTTCCTAATAACAGTACATTAGAACTCCTAACTTACAGTGGCTTAAACAAATAGGAGTTTATTTCTGCTATATAACAAGAAGTCCAGAGGAAGGAAGTTGTTGGCACTGGCTCACTTACCAACAGTTTTGTCAGGGACCTCAGCTCTCTTTACATTTCTGTTCTGCCATTCTTAACATATTGGTATTTACCCTATACTTACCATCACTTCATGTTCACAAGAGGGCTACCACAGCTCCAGATGTCACATTCACATTCAAGGCAGGAAGTAGGATAAGATGGAAGTAAACACATCTGTCCATTTCACCAGGAAAGTAAAAGCTTCCCCAGAAACCCCCAGAAAAATATGCTTATTTCTCCCTGGCTAAAACTATGTTGCACGGCCAACTCTAAGGCTGGAAACGTGTTTAGTTTGGTACACTGCTGACATGAACAAGACTAATGTTCCATTAGGAAGAAAAAAGGGAGAACAGATACTGGGTTGGTAGCTGAAAGGGTATGCCACAATGCTATTTCCCTCTCTTCACAGAAATCATACAAAAACAAGAAAAATGAAAAACACTTATGCAAACTTGATGTTCAATAAGACTAGAGGATATCTATAAGCCTGAGTCATATGAAAATCTATCAGGTGTGATCAGAATATAACTCTGGGCATTACCTGGGAAATTTTATCAAACACCAAGTCCTACCAGTGGCTGCACTTTAAAACAAAGCTTGAAGAGGACATTCTAAAGTAACAAGCACATCTCAAGGTGGTGGTGGTGGGAGAGGTGGGGATACTGCTTATTTAGAACAGTATTTAAAAGAGAAAAGATGTGCTGGATTGAGGTGAGAGATTGCCTATACAGGCATCTGTGGAATAATATATGAAACTCATGAAAAAACACACTTTCTGCAAAACTGCATCTAAAAAAATAGGGAGAAGAGGTTTATGGGGAAAATAGGTTTAAAGGGTAGACTATTTAAAACCTGTACAACTTTGTCACTGGAGTACTAATAAAGCTATAACAGTCTAGTAAAACTACAAGAATGGTTAAGAAGACTTATTAAACCTCCAATAAATATTATAGTGAGTCTAGGATTTTGCCTTAGAAAGGTGATATATCTGGTTGGAAAGAGTTATAAGGAACGGGTAAGGCAAGGGTACAGTAGTATCATTACAAGTGCCAGTGAAGGAGCATTTGCACACTTTCTAAGAAATGGAATGATGGTTCTGGCTTGTTAGCTCGTATTTGTTTTTTTGACACTGGGTTATAAAATGGTATGCAGCTTTTACTATTTCAAAATTTTCCTTCTTTCATAATGAAAGAAACTGCTTATATGGCTCCAAATAGGACTTTATGCCACAAACTGCAATCCTGCTGCATTCTGTTTTGCAGTCATTATCTTCTATCCATTGCAACTGCTTTTCTCTCATACTTACAGCAGAGTATAACTGAGAGATGAAAAGCTCTTGTGAGGTAGCTTATTGAATTTCATCATTATCTTCTTCCACACCTTCCATTTATGCTTCAGCAACTACTTCTTGCAGCTCTTGTGTAGAAAGATCCTCTGCATGATATTGTGGCAGTTTCTCAATATCCTCACTCTCAACTTTTTCCAATAAAACCTCCTTTGCAAGAGCAACAACACAACTTGCTTTCTGGGTAGGTCTTCTGATGGTTCAACGTCTTTAGAGTCATGAATTAAATCAGGGAGCATTTTATGCCATATTGCATGCAAACAGGCTTTTGTGACATCATTCCAGGCCTCTACAATAATATCAATTCCAAGTTTAATGTTGACTCCATCCCAGAATTCAAATATTGTTTGGGCATTGTTACTTCCTGTAGCTGCAACCAACATCTCGAATGTTTGCCTTAAAAAGTTTTAAAGGCTGCAATCATACCCTGATCAAGAGTAAAGAAGTTGTATTAGGAGGGAAAAAGAGGACTTTGACATTTGAAGAAAGCTCAAGAACTGCTGGAGGATGGCTTGGTGTATTACTGAGAATAGTAAGAATTTTAAAAAGCAAACTTTTCCTTTTGCAGTATTTTTATCAAATATCTACAAAAACATCACCTAGACCAATAAAGGTCTGTCCTGTCATCCTACCTTCTCTTGCTACATCTATAGCACCTATCAAAGCTAGTCTTTATAATTCCTTTTATAGTCTGTGGGCTGGAAAAGTGATAAATCAAAACAGGCTTTAAAGCCCCACTGGCATTCGCACCCAGCATCACAGTTGCTTCTCTGTAGCCTTAAACCCTAGTGTTTAGGTTTCTCCTTGAAGATACAGACCCTGGAGGGCATTTGCCTTGCAATAGAGACTAAATGCCATGGAATGGATTTCAACACATAATGGCTCCCACTGGGTTTCTGCGGTGATAAGTCTTTATGGAAGTACACTGCCTCATCTTCCTTCTCAGAGCCCCTGGTGGGTTTGAACCACCAACCTTCTGGTTTGCAGTCAAATGCCTTAGGCACTGCTCTACCAGCGTTCCTTATATAGAGACTAGTTTCATCAAAATTAAAAATCTGATCCAGGGAGTAGCCTTCTTCATCAAACAAATTTCTTAACATTAGGGGAAACATCTTTGCAGTTTCTTCATCTGTACTCACAGCATCGCCAGAGAACTTAACATTGTAGAAAGCATAGTAATTCTTGAAGCCAGTAAATCAGCTACTACTTGCATTAAATGAAGACACTTCTGCAGGATTTTCAGCTTTTTTTCTTAAGGTCTTCATATATTGTTAAGGCTTTCTCTTTGAGAAAGAGACTGCTTCTTTGTTTGGTATCCAATCCACACACCTAGCAAAAGTACTATTTCTTCCATTTCCTTATGCTTTGCTCTAACAGATTTTGTAGCACTGGCAGTTCTTCCAGCTAGAGGATTGTCTATTTTATTTCTCAGCATTGTCTCTAATTGTGCACAACATTGATTTCTTTATGCCAGCTGCACAACCAATGTCACAAGTTCATTTCTTTCAAAAGATTTTATAATTCCTAGTTTTTTCTTCAGTTGTTAATGCTTTTCTTCTCTTACACTCACTAGCAGAAATGTTATCACCAGCATGCTTCTGTGGCACTTGAAAACCCCTTTGCTTGCTCATTTTCTACAACACAAAAAAGTTTAGCAAAATGTGCACAAAGATGGGAAGAAATCATAGCACTTCCAAGACAGAACTCATAGCCAAACTGAGCCAACAGAAAGGATGTGGGGATGGATGGGAATTATGTGCAGTATAGTATGTCTCCACAACTTGCTATATTTGGCTATAATCATGTATTTATGATGCATTCAGCTGTTCGTACTTGGCCCAAAACATCAACTTGCCAGGAAACTTCAGACAGGAGCCAGCACAATTTCGGAATTATACTCACTCACTTCTCTGTTTACCATTATCATGTAAGAAATTTTGTATTCCCAAAACATATGTCTGAGCATGACTATATACTATCTACATGAAATATTCATATTCAAAAAGAGCTCAGCTAAATGTATAGAGAATATCATTACAGAAATGTAAGGGTATTTGGCAATATCCATAAAATTCTAAAATTAGTCACAGAAGGCAGCTATACTCTTAAAAATGAGCTCTGGAGGCGTAGTGCCTAAGACACTTTGACTGCTAACCAGAAGGATGGTGGTTCAAACCCACCAGAAGATTTGGCAATCTACTTCCACAGTAATACTGCCTTGGAAACCCAAGGAGGGGTCGCTATGAGTTGGAGACGACTGGTAGTTCAGTTTGTGTGTCAACTTGGCTGGGCCTGGTTGAGTGGCTGGGCAGCTGGATGTAGTACTCCCCATGATGAGACTGGTAATCACCTCCATGGTGGAATCTACTGTGAGCAACTGAGTAGCTGCCTTAGGGAATGTGGTCTGCTTCCTGTATATAGCAGAAGCCTTGGGGAATAGTCTCTAGCTTATGGCATGCTTGGACCCTGCGTGTAGCCGTGTCATTGTTCAGCAACCTGACATGCTCTGCCGACCTGGGGACTTACAATGGACTTGAATAAACGGCCTGACCTGTGGTTTGGTAACATCGGGACTGTGCCTTTTTACTTGTCAACCCTGGGGTTGGCAGCCTCAGCAGCCAGCAGCTGTCTGAGTAAAGAAAAGCCTCTAGCTCCAGTGGGCCCAGAGCAGGAGGCAGAGCTGAAGCCCAAGGCTAAGGGGCTTTCACCCAGCCCCTAGAGCTTGGCACTTTGAACTTGGACTTAATGCCTCCAAATTGTAAGAATAAACTCCTGGTTGTTTATGCCATCCCATTTGTGGTATATTCTTGTCAGAGCGATACTAGGTAATCAGAACACCGGCACATAACAACAACAAGTAAAATGGTAAATAAATAAATAAATAAATAGAACTAACTCTGGGCTGAATACACCTCAGATACCTCTGACTTTAGGTACTGAAAAGTATCAAGGAAATCATTAACAATTAATCTCTTCATTATACAGATGATGACATTAAAGCCAGGAGAAGGTGTGATATGCCTCAGGTTATGCAGCTAATTAGTAGCAGAACTTACATTATAAACCCAGATCTCATGATTCACCTTTCCTGATCTTTCCACTAATTTGGCTACTTCTCTATTTGTCCCTCCTATAAGACATTATTATTATATATTGTAAAAATAATAGGCGTCATAAAATGAGATAGCTACAAAAGGCATTAATGATTTTTCACAATTTCATCTAATATATTTCTTTAATCTCAGTCAGTACATAAAATATCTTTTCCACTGACAAGCAATATAACCAAGTTTCCCATTTGGTCAAGTCATCTACTTACTGGGATTCGCTGTCGCTTACACAAAGACAGTTATTCTATGAGCATGAATCTATTCATATACTTCAGTGCTCAAATAAATAACTTCCCAAACAAGTTTGCATCCACCAGTGTGAAACTAATCCTATTTACTTCACCCTGGACATCCATGTACCCAAATCCTCCACAGATGACACCTCCAACTTCTCACCTGCTGTCTGGGTTCATCAAGCTCCCTCTCCAAATCTTCCAACACAGTAACCACCTCCTCTCCATTCTCAGGATTATGCTCACGCACCCAAGCCTGGAGCTCCTCAGGCAAGATGGTCAGAAACTGCTCCAAAACCAACAATTCCAAGATCTGTTCCTTAGTATGTATCTCTGGGCTCAGCCACTGATAGCAAAGTTTCCGGAGTTGACTCAGGGCCTCTCTGGGTCCAGGTGTCTCTTGATAGCAGAATTGCCTGAAGCGGTGACGAGAGAGTTCCCTAGTTTGAGACAAATTCCTCTGTAGGCAAGAGTCCTGATCTTCCTGGTCTTCCTCCTTAACCTTTACCTTGATAATCTCCCCTTGTTCCTCTGATGCCTGGCCATTCAAGGCAAGGAGGGCCCCGGAGACTGTCGCCATCCCGAGCTTATTTGAGAGGAAGATTCTCTCCACTTTGGATCTAAGCAAATTTACTTGAGCTCCCCCCGCCCCTTGGTCAGGAAAGATTTCTCTATTACGAAAACACTGTTAACATCGAAAAAATTACAGACGCTGTAAAAAAGGACGTTTCTGTGCCAACACAGGGTTGTTACACGAGTAATTCAACCAAGTGAAGTCATTCTCTGACAAGACAAAGTGTAAGCACAGAACTAATTAAAGCTTCATGGGCTCAAATTGCGCAGCCAATAATTTGTGAGACACAAAACTGGGGTTACCAAAAAGACGTTGGCCCTAAATCAAGCCTGGGTATAAGAACCCAGGCAAGGAAACCAAGGTAGTCGCTCCGAAGGCCGTAGCTCCTGCAGCCTGGGCCGGGGCGACAAAGACCAAGATGGGCTACTTTCACACCACGACTTGTCTGCAGAGTAGGTCAAGTTATCTCCGCGCACACACCTCTTCTCCTCCGCCGCAGCTTCCAACTCCCAGCGCACACCCCCTCAGGCCAAGCCAGAGATGTGAGCCGAGGGCAATACTCCTGGGCTGAGCAGGCGGCTCCACAAACACAGTCGCCGCAAGCCCGGCAAGCTCCTGCCGAAGCCGCTGAGCCGCATTCACTTCCGGTCCGCTCTAGGATTCCGGGTGGTGCAGTCATCTCGGTGGTTGTAGTACTGTGGGACTAGTAAACCTGGGAAGAGTACTCTGGAATCTGTAGAAAAAAATGAGTTGCCCAGTTATCTGTCGTACTGGTGAAAATAATATCACACTGTGAGTAGTGCTGAGCTGGAAGCTGCTCTCGGTTTTCTTGTTACCGTGATAAATCGTCGCTGAGATCCCCAAATTGTCAAAACACCATTTTAGAAAGGGAAAGGAGAAACAGGAACTTCAATTAATAAAATTCCTTTGGAGAGCAATTTGGCAATATCTATAAATATTTAAAATGCATATATCCTAGAGTAATTAAGTCCAGTCAAAAAAGTATATTACAGTATCACAGATATACGCACATTGAAAAAAATATATATGAACTTTTCCATTGCAGTATAGTTTGTCATAGCAAAAGATGAGGGAAAAACCTAAATATCAATCAATAGGGGAAAAAAAAAACAAAACGAAAAAACACTGCCATCGAGTGGATTCGGACTCATAGCGACTCTCCTTGAGTTTCCAAGAGGTAAATCTTTACGGGATTAGATTGCCCCATCTTCCTTCTGCAGAGCGGCTGGTGGGTTTCAACCACCAATCTCCAGGTTAACGGTCAAATGGCTTAAGCACTGCACGACCAGAGATCGTTAACAACCAACAGAGTGTGGTTAAATAATATACAGTAACCCATACACTAGAATACTGTGCAATCTGGCAAAAGAATAAACTTAATTTTTGTGATCCAAAATGTTCTCCAAGATATATTGGCTATGGGGAAAGGATAAGAAGAGACCAATGTGCATAGTATGTTATCATTTGTATTACCTGTTTTTGAGGTAAAAAAAAAAAAAGGGGGGGGGAGATATATGTTTTATGAATGTATATTATGTAAAACATACATTCCTTTTTTTAATTTTTGAGGAAAGAAAAGGAATATAAATTTATATAATATACATTCATATTACTTAATATGTTTTTGGAAAGAATTAATAGCAGACACTATGTAGAGAGAGTGCAATTAGGTGGTTGGGGAATAGGGGGTGACTGCAAGATTTAGCTATATAGTTTTTTGTACTTTTTGAGCCATGTAAAAGTTGTGCCTTAAGTAAAAGGAAGAAATAAATATTTTTTCCCAAAGGACTGACAAGAGGGAAATCAGAAGTAGAAACTCAATATTGACATTCTTCTCTGTCTTATTCAAGAAGGAATTATTGCAGCTAACTAGGAATGTTTTATGGGTTGTATTTTTCTGTTTTGTCATACTTATAAGCAAAGACACACCTCCTCCTCAAAGCTTGAGATCCTTAGACAGTAATAGTTGATTGTTTTACCTTAAAGTTAGCATACAAGGTGAAATTTGCAGTTCAGTTAAAATTAGTCTGAAAATAACCCACAATGTACAGTATAAGTAATTTGTTGCACATATCTCTGTGGATGATTTTATCATTTACTTTAAGTTTGTTAGATATTTTTTCTAAAGCCCTCAACTAATTATTCAATTGCTTCCTCAAAAAACTGGGGGATTTGTGGTGAATATAAATATGTGTTTTGCACTATAAGAGGTTACTATCTAGAGGAGAAAAGAAACACTATTCAAATGATTCTACTGGTAAATAATTATTATAAATGCTACTGAGGAGGAATTGCCCCAAGATTGAGAGAATGCTTCAATGAGTACTGAGCTGGGAAGATAAATTTAACAGTTTATACAATTTAGTGGTAAGGAATTAATTCACTTGAGGTAAATGTTAACCAGGATACGTTGAGACCTACCGTTAGGTGTGCTTGGAATACAGGATTAAAGAAAACCTTCACAAGCCGACGAGGATGGGATTCGAACCCACGCGTGCAGAGCACAATGGATTAGCAGTCCATCGCCTTAACCACTCGGCCACCTCGTCCTGTGTGAACGGGGTGCATTAATTTTCTTCCTCCTGGATGTTTGTTCTGTAGTAATTATATTGAATTACCCAGATTCAGTCCTCACAACCAAACTCAGGGTCAAATACATTTTACAGCAACCACAAAAATGATGTTTAGAGTAACTTGGCACATATAAAATGAACAGGTAAAACCAGCACACTTGGGTACCAAATAAATCCTTGTTGAACAGATGGATGAATGAATATACCAGCTCCAGTCTGCCACCCTGTGTTCTTCTAGAGGCTTACATTAGTCTCTGAAAGGCTGCTTTCCTGCCTTCTGAACAGAATTTCTTCTGGGATTACTGTTTTCTGGGCAATATCAGGGACCAATGAAATCTGGCTCTGCGATTGCCTGTCATTTCCTTCTAAAGTATGACCGACAGCCAGGAGACACCTTTCTCTCTTGTTGCCTTTTCTAGCACGTGGCATTGATCAGTCTGTGACATGTCAGCAGTGATGAAAAGGTAGTTGAAAAAAAAAAAATGTGAGGGGCCTGATTGTAGAATAGATTGGAATATTAAAGCATAAAATTGATTTGCCACCAACATTGAGAAGGGTCTTGTGGAGTAAGGGTGGAGAAATCCTCACTGGTCCACTAGGTCAGCTTACCTGGTTGTGGCTCTGCCTAGTGTACTGTGTAAATTCAGGCACACTACATCACCAGTTGGGGAGCTCTGGTGGCAAAGTGCCTAAGCCATTTGACTGCTCACCAGATGGCTGGCGGTTCAAACCCACCAGCCACATCTCGGAAGAAAGGTTGGGCAATCTACTTCCGTAGTGATACTGCCTCAGAAACCCAAGAGGGGTCACTATGAGTTGGGTTGGACTCGACCGCAGTGTGTTACATCACCAATTTCATCCTCAATCTTTCCATCTTGCCCCCACAATTTCCATCATCTTTCCAGAAGGAAGCTCAACTTGACAACCTCAGATAAACTCAGCATGCATAAATCCTATCAGGGCACCAGAGTTTGTCTGTTTTTCTATATTTAGCACAGAATTTTGGAGAGAAAAGATACCTTCTTGCCAAAATGTGTTTTTCCTTCTTGTGTAATCTCTCCCTTTGTTCTCAGATTTGGCAGGGGGACCTTCATCTCTGCTTTCATGCTCCTTCACTGAATTCCACATTCTCACCTTCAACATACAACTACCCATCATGGGAAACTCATCTATAAGCCCGGAATTAGAAGATTAAGAATTTATAAATTTAGTGAGTCAAAAATAATTATGTCTTTGAATGAGGTTAGTTTGTTGTGGTTTCCTTAAGCCTTGAGTTAGAACTGCCATACTGCTGCTCAAATCTCTTAATGTTCTCTTCTTTTGTCCTTCTTTCAGGGTTCCAAGGATAACCTAATTTTATACCATTGACTTTAAAAATATTTCTTAACACAAAATTTGAAGGGAAATTTTCCCAACTTCTTTGGCATCCCCTTCAGGAGGTAATATTATGCTTTTAGAAATGACAGGGGCACTAACTTTTCATGTTAAAAGAGATACATAAGTATTTGTATTTAAAATATTGATCATAATTAAATTAAGTTTCTTTCATTGAATATTATATGTTTGACACTATAGTAGGAGTTCAGGTGGTGTAGTACCTAGGGCATTTGACTGGTAACCAGAAGGCTTTCAGTTCAAACTCACCAGCCACTCTGAGGAAGGAAGACCGGGTGACCTACTTTAGTGAGTTTTTTCTTTTTATGATACTGTACTACGCTAATTAATTGGTGAATAATATAAGATCCCTATCCTGATTAAATAAACAACATAGCTTGGTACAGCAATAAACAAGTAAACAATCAAATGCATGTATAAACTCATGAAAAGTTGAATGAAAGTTTGAGCACCCCAGTTTTTATTATTAGATTCCAGAGTTCCACAAAAATTGATTTAAACTATTTTGTCAGCTTAATCATTGCTTTAGTGGAGGGAAGAGTTTTGAAGTTCCACCATTTTCAGTGATGTCTCTCTCCATTTTTTTAATGACCTCAAATTAAGTACTATTATTATTTCATTCAGACAAGGATTGTTCAGATTTTCTTATATATTTAAATTTTGTTTGTTCTCTCTTCATTCTTACATCTCAGGCTGGTATCATTTTTTCCTTTATTTTGAAGTACATCATTTAGAATTTCTTTTACTAATGAATTTGTCATTTACCTTGCCTGTGTCAAGGTAAACAATAGATGATTAAGGAAATTTATTCTTTATAGAATACGGAAGGAGCTCTGGTGGTACAGTGGTTAAGGCGTTTGGCTGTTAATCAAACAGGTGGTTCAGACCCACCAGGTGCTCCATGGAAGAAAGATGGGGCAGTCTGCTTCCCTAAAGATTGACAGCCTTGGAAACCATATGGAGATCGCCATGAGTCAGAATCAACTAGATAGCAATGAGTTTCATTGGCATAGAATATTTACATATAATAAATGCAAAGGAAATGCTAAAATATTTAAATCATAATTTTTTGATCCTAATGGATCTAAGTGATGATAATCAATGGGTGCTAAGGCAAATGGGGGTGGCAGACAGGACGCACCCCCAGTGGCAGGAAAGGGAGGGAAGAAGGAGGAGGCCATCCACTTCTCAAAGAATTGGCCAGGGAAAACCTTATGAATAGCAGGCAAACACTGTCTGATACATTACTGGGCAATTTTATGAATAGCCTGGAAACATTGTCCAATACAGTGCAAGAAGACGAGTCCCTTAGGACAGAGGGCACCCAAGGTACAACCAGGAAAG